ATTTCTAGAGCTTAGCACAGTGCCTGCCTGACACAGTCAAAACTAAATACATGCTTCTTGCTTGCTGGCTTGATTTTTGCCTAACAGAAAGGGAGTATCAGACTCCCTGGGAATCGCTCTGTGAGCCCTGATGCAGAAACCAGGGCATTAAAAAAGGGCCCCACAGACTATTTCCCCTCTCCTTCCCCCTTAGAAAATTAAAAGCAAAGGAGGTGCACTACTACATTGCCCAGCTTGGTAGATATTCTGTATCTGCATCCAAAAATGCACACTGTTGCAAATAAGAGAAAATTCCCTCTCACCCACACCAAAAACAACATTTCAAGCATTTCCACTCCCCAAAATCCCCATGCAGCATTGTCTTACAAGGGTTTTTGAGCAGGGGGAGGTGTTTTTGATGTGTTTTTGGGAACATGAATCTTGAAAGTAATGACTAGTTATATGACAGGTTCTCTGAAGGGACCAAAATTTGTGGTTTCCCCCTATGCTCCACCTTCTATCCGAAATACCCATCTGAATCACAATGACTTTGTGAAATCATTCAGTTACTGAGCTTCTGGCTTTCAAATCATTCCTCCTAGGAAGTGAACTGCAGGCCTGTTGTATGGAGTATTTGCATCCAGCATAGCATTTGGGCCCTGACAAACAGAACAATACAAAAGAAGACTAAAAGACCTATTTATGAACATGTGATGCAAACAGATTGTCACCCCCAACACAAAAAAAAAAGCTTTTTCATTTAAAAAATATTATTGGTATCTTTTGTCTTTGTAACATCTATATTTCCCACTGCATATTTGCTTCTGATCCTCTTTCAGAGATTCAGAGATTTCAGAGAAAGAATGAAAGAGAGAAAGAAAAAAGAGAGGGAAGGAAGGAGGGAAGGAGAGAGGGAAAGAAAAGGAGAGAGAAAGAGAGGAAAAGAAGAAGGGAAGGAGGGAGGGAGAAAGGGAGGAAGGAAGGAAGGAAAGAAGGCAGGAAGGAAGGCAGGAAGGAAGGAAGGAAGGAAGGAAGGCAGGAAGGAAGGAAGGAAAGGAAGAAAGGAAGGAAGGAAGGAAGGAAGGAAGGAAGGAAAAAAATAAACCTGCAAAACTAAATAGCGTATCAAAAAAATCTGATACTATGTTGCAGCATCTTACTCACCTAGTGTCCCATTTCTGCAAAGGAACAGAAAGAGGTGTCATTTCATATCTCTTCATTAGGGTGAAGTTTGGTCATTACAATTTCTCAGTATTTTTTATTGTGTTATTGATGTCGAGCTTTCTATTTACACTATTGTAGCGATTGTATGCATTATTTTTCTGGTTCTACATCACTTTGCATCCATTCCTATGTCTTCTTATGCTTCTCTGTATTTATAATGTTCATCATTTCTTACCCCATTGCATTAATATACCACCATCCATCAGGTCATAAGCTCCTTGCAAGCAGGTACTGTCTTTTCCCTCTTTATGTATCCCCAGTTCAACCAATACCTGACACATTATAAGTGCTTAATAAATACTTATTAACTGACTGATTCATTGAACATCTATTTTGTTTCCAGTTCTTGTCTACAGACGGTGCTGCTAGAAATATTTTGCTATAGATGAGGCCTATATTTTCTTCATTGCCTTCTTGAGGTATTTACAGAATGCAAGAGCTAGGTCAAAGAGTATAGACAATTTAGTTATTTTCCTTGCATAATTCCAAATTGCTTTCCCTAATGGTTGGACCAATTCATGTCTCTACTAACAACAGTTAATCTGACAAAATCCTTCCAATATTGACTATTCCCATTTTTGTCATCTTTGCCAGTTTGCTTGGTATGTTTCAATTTAAATTTCTCTTACTGGATATTTGGAGTATTCTTTCATATGACTGTTAATAATTTGCAGTTCTTTTGGGAAATGTTTATATTCTTTGACTTATTAATCTATTGGGGAATGGTTTTTGGCCTTATGCATTTCTGTTAGTTGAAAGATGCTTTTTAAAAAATCTGGTGCTATTTTATTTTCTTTAAAAATGTTTACTGATATGTTTTGTTTTTATATCACCTTCTTCTTTGAATATATCCTCCCCTACCCAGTAAACTATCCCTTTTAATAAAGAAGAAAGAAATCAGCAAAAGTAACAGGTGAGTCTTAAAATATACTCAATGTTCCATGTCCATAGCTTCCTATCTCTGTAAGCAAGGAGGAAAAGACTGATATTATTTTCAAGATGGACAGCTAAATCCAGACTATTGTCACAGGTACAAGGTAGAGCCACAAAACTGGATTGATCAACTTCCTTCCAGGCTAGCTAAAGTCCTATTTTAAGTCCTACAAATCTTGCTTCCTCTCAATGTCTTCAGGTTCTTTAGGCCGATAGGACTAATGTGTTTTAAGTTCATTCATCTCAATCTTAGTCCAACCTAGTAAGATGTGCAAGATGGTTTGGAAGTATTCTTAAAACTTTATGTAAACATAGACATATTTCCAGGAGCTGTTTGTTTGAATTCTTGCTCAGAATTAATGTTTGATTCCAAATTAAGATCCAAAGTCAAATAAATAGGCCTATAACTGGAAAAGTACATTTTTTTTCCTTTGAGGCAGAGTTAAGTGACTTGCCCAGGGTCACACAGCTAGTGTCTGGATTTAGTACGGGATTTGAACTCAGGTTTCCCTGATTCCAGGGCCAGTGCTATCCATTGCACTACCTAGCTGCCCCTGGCAAAGTACATACTTAAATGAACCATTTAAAAATATTTACTGTTGTTTTGTTTTTTTCAACAACACTCCAGTTTAACAGCTTCTTTGGGTTCAAAATCACCTTCTATAAGAAACCCTGCTCAAGAGGGAACAGTATTCTTAATTTTCTCAGCCTCATTCAGAGCAGAAGCAATCATTCCATTCAATACATTTTTATGGAGAATATAAAGATCTCACTGTGTGGGCTCAGAAGCTCTCATCCTTCCTTCACCTAAATGTGAAGATCATCTTAAACCACAAGCCTGACCTCCCTGCTCAAAGGATCTTCAGTGACCTGCTATTGCCTCTAGAACAAAATGCATATGTCTTAGCTTAACATTTAAAGCTGTTTACAGTTAGACTCCAGCCTACCTTTCCAGACTCATAACACATTACTTCTCTTTGAGTACTTGACATTCCAGACAAATTGGCCTCTTTGCTATTCTCCAAATTCAATACTAAAATACATTCCCTCCCAGCCTTTAACTCTTAGAATTCCTCCATTCCTTTAAGAGTCATCTTGAGACATCTCCTCCAGGAAGCCTTTCCTGATCCTCCCAAGCACTAGTGTTTTCTCCTGCCTCCTTAAATGATTTGGTTACATTGATTGGAGGTAAACTCATTTAGGGCAGGAACTGTTTTATTTTCTATTGAGTTTATATTTTTTCCCCAATTACATGTAAAAACAATTTAAACTTTTTTTTCAAATTTTGAGTTCCAAATTCCCGCCCTCCCTCCTTCTCCATTGAGAAGATAAGCAAATTTGACATAGATTATACAAGTGTAGTCATGCAGGGACTGTTTTTTAAAAAAATTTTATCTTTGCATCCCAGAACATAATAGCAGTTGGTTAATAAATGCATGCTGGAATGAATTAGATGAATACTTTCCCAAAAATGAATTTGCACAGTGGTAACTTGCCTTAGACTCACTTACAGTAAGGGTAGGGCTGCCCAGAACTAGTGGTGTGAACTCCTGACCCTCAGATATCAGATGTGTCCAGATCCATCTCATATATAAGTCATGGATTCTGGTGCATGCTTTGAGTGTATCTGTTTACTCGGCTGCACGTGATGCAACTTTCCCACATGGAGAATCCAAGGAGGGGCAGCTAGGTGGTGTAGTGGATAGAGCACTGGCCCTGAAGTCAGGAGGACCTGAGTTCAAATCTGGCCTCAGACCAAGCACTTGACACTTACTAGCTGTGTGACCCTGGGCAAGTCACTTAACCCCAATTGGCTAAAAAAAAGAAAAGAAAAGAAAGAAAGAGAATCCAAGGAACTGGTAGAATTGTCATGGTATGTAAGGGAAGTGTCTAGGAGAAGGCATGAGTAGACATTCTGTAGCTGATTCTAGGCTGCTAACAACATGGTGAATGGGAGGCTCTTAGACTGGCCGCGAAAGGTTTTCATCTGTCTTCCACCAGGGTCTCTTGCCTCAATCCTTTTGACTTCTCTGTTTGTGGTCAGATTTATGCTCAGAATCTCAGAATGAGGCAATGCTATAGGGAAGCTTTGGCGTCATTTCCCCATCAAGGCCACATAGCACTAAGAAATAGGTCTTAGTCCTTGTCCTCTGCAGGTGTTTTTATCTATTTGGTAAGGGGGGTGGAGCATCTGATCTTAGGAGTTTGAATGGTCTGGAGGTGCCTCACATCCCAGTATTTCAGAGTTTAGGTTTGTAGCCAGTGCAACAGCAGTGCTGCAGGAACAAAGAGTGACCTTCAGAGTGACCTTTGGTACCTCAGCCCAGCAATTACTGAGACATGGATTCATCCAGCAGTAATGTCTTTGGATACGATAGTGAGATCAATGTTATGTAAAGATTGAACTAAGAGTGATCCTATTTCTCCCACAGATCAAATTGGTATAGGGGAGAATATGCCCCTAAGGTACCAGGAGAAATGATTTTACAATACACTTGTTCTTGCCATAACTTCAAAATAAACAGTATTTTGGAAAAGCTGATTTAAGTGGTTAAATGCAAGTGGAGCACTAGAGATTGGCTCTTAACAATGGGGAAAGCATAGCTGGTAGAGGCTCAAACTGATAGACAAGAGACACCCTAATCCATCAGAGTACCCTAGAACCCTGAAGGGCAAATGGAGCCTTCCAGGCTCTGGAAGAGCGAGTCAGAGCACACTCACTACATGGGAACTAGCTCTCAGTTCCGTGTACTAATAGAAGAGGGAAGTGAGCAAATAACCACTGACATCATTTGTTGATTGTAGTTGAACATTCTACAGAGTATCTTTCTCAGTAGGAATTAGATTTTTTTTCCCTCATTCTGATATGACTGAAGGAGAAGTGTCATGGACATTAATTCAGATCCCAGACTATGTATGTATTTTTTTAATGCAGATAATCCTCTTGCAGATACTGAAGAGCTCTTAGCGCATAGGTATTTTTCTCTCTTTTTACTTTCTCCAAAAGGTCATTAATAACTCATTAAGAAATATACCCTGGAAATTTTTTTTCATTATTCATTGGTGAACTATCTACTTCTAACACTGAGAATCACTACTGGACCTAGGGGGCTGGGGCACTTGTCTCTCTCTATTGTCTACTAATGGACCCCTCTGCTCTGGATCCAGACATTCAGTCCAAACAAGATTCAGTCCAGAGGAAGCCTGACTTACACTGAATGAGGGGCTCAGTTCCCTTTTCTCACATTCTTTGGACCTCTACTCCAGCAAATTGGAGATGATCTACTTATAGCTTAGGTTAGGGTTCATTTCTAGATGTCCTCAAAGAAGAGGTAGAAAGGTACTCAGTGTATCATATAAATCAAGTATGGGACAGGTATTCCTTACACACCAAAAAAAAAAAAGCTAAAATATGAAAAACTCACAATAACTTAACTTATAACAACTATTATAATCTCTCCCGGAAACTGATAATTTAACTTTATCTGGATATGAGGCAGTTTGTTGGACTGCTGAATAGTCACTTTTCTTTCTTTCTCTCTTTCCTTCTTTCTCTCTTTCTTGTTTGCTTGCTTCCCTTCTTTCTTTTCTCTTTCTTTTCTTTCTTTCTTTCTTTCTTTCTTTCTTTCTTTCTTTCTTTCTTCCCTTCTTTCCTTCTTTCTTCCCTTCTTTCCTTTTCCTTTCCTTTCTTGCTTCCTTCCTGGGGAACTCTAATCATACACTGCCTGGGATGGTCCCTTTTGACCATCTTTGCTACACACTTCAAACACTTACCACATCTAATGTGGATCTAATATAGATGAGAGGCAATGAGGCATGAAAGAGAGTTAGCCAGGCCTGGGTTCAAGTGCTACCTCTTACATGCACTGGCTATGTGATCCTTGATGGTGAGTCACAACTTCTCAGTGCCCCAAGTAACTTTCTTAAGACTTTAAGTTACAGAGAAGATAGAACTCTGCATTTGTAAATGCAGTTTTTTCATTGGGACCTTGGATGCCAAATGAAATCACAGGTTGGGCCCCCAGATGGAGATCTAAACTTGAAAACTGTCTGAGAGTATCATTCTCCTTATTTTTGTGTCTAGTTAAGTTCATTTCTCATGGTTCACAGACACCTACCACATGCCTCTCAGTATGACAGTTATTGACTCAGGTCATAGGCAAAGAGACACTAAAGATTCCAAAAATGTTTCACCCCTTTGTGTACCACTCATATCATAAAAATTCATACTACCATCATACTTTAAGGTCTACAAAGCACTTTCCCAAAACAAATGGAAGCTGTTTCCAGTCATCCTGATCTATACCTTGCCACTGGACCCAGATGGCTCCAGAGGAGAGAGTGAGGCTGGTGACTTTGCACAGCCCTGCCTCACTTAAATCCAATTCACTTGCAAGTCATGGCCTCATCTTCCTGATGTCATGGTCCTCTTCAAGAATGAAGGACAAACAACAACAATAATCTGAGCAGCCATGTTAGATTCAAAACATAGGACCCATATAACTAATTCCAAGTCCAACATCCTTTCCATTACAAGACACTCCCCCTGAATGATAGAATAATAACAGATTTGAAGCTGGAATGGAACTCACAGATGATCAGGTCCAATTTCTTCATCTGACAGATGAAGAAACTGAGACCCAGAAAGGTAAAGTGACTTGCCCAATATCACTTAGGTAGGAAGTAGCAGAGTTGAGATTTGATCCCAGATTCTCTGACTCAAAATCTTGTACTCTTTCCACTACACTAATTCTTCCTAGACAATTTATTCTCAGATAGGTCCATAACCTTTGCAGCCCAGGATCGTGTCCCTTAAGAGATAGTTTGGGGGAGGCTTCCGTGCTATCTCACAATATAAGGATCAGATGGATAAAGTAGAGCATCCTCTTATTTGTAAGCTGAATTCATAGTTTTCAGAGACAGCTATAGGGCAAGAAGCCCCAAGAATGAAGCAATGCACCTATTAGAGAAAGACATAGCCTTTTATGTGAGGTGTCTGAGGAAGACATCAAAATATGGGGGGGGGGTAATCACTGTCCCAAAGGGACAGACAATAACCTCCCTTACCCTTGGCCTCACTTGAACTGTCCATTCCCACTAGTTACTGTTATATCTCTCCCCCCCTTTTGTGGCTAAGCTCATCAACAATGGGTGATTCCACTTCCTTTCCTTTCATCCTTAACCCTTTGCAATCTGACTTCTGATCTCATCATTCCATCAACTGCTCTCTCCAAAGTTACTAATGACCTCTTAATTGCCAAATCTAATGGCCTTTTTTTGAGTTCTTATCCTAGACCTCTCTGCAGCCTTTGATACTGTCCATGTGTCTCTCCTCCTTGACACTCTTTTCTCTCTAGGTTTTCACAATGTTCTCTCCTGGTTTTCCTATCTGTCTGACTTCTCTGTCTCCTTTTCTGGATCTTCTTGCAAACCACGCCTGCTAATTGTGGGATTCCTCCAAGGCTCTGTGTTGGGCTCTCTTCTCTTCTCCCTCTGTACCATTTCACTTGGTGATCTCATCAGCTCCCATGATTTCAGTTATCATCTTTATGAAGACAACTGTCAGATCTCACTTCTCTGGGATATCCAGTCTCACATCTCCAATTGCCTCTTGGATATCTCAAACTAGATATCCTATAGACATCTTAAATTCAACACTTCCAAAACTGAATTTAATATATTTACCCCGAATCTTCCCTAATACCTCTTCCTAACTTTCCCTATTACTGTTGAGGGTACCTCAGGTGTCATCCCTGACTCCTCACTCTCTCTCTTCCCTAATATCCAATCAGTGATATGTTCTGTCTTTTCTCCTTTTATAACATCTCTTGAATATGCCCCATGGTTTCCTCTCACATTGTAACCAGCTTGGTGCAGTGCCTCATCAACTCATCTGGGCTATTGCAATAATATTAGTTGCTCCCCCCCCAATCTGCCTTAAATCTCTCCAATCTCTCAATTCTACTCCAATCCATCCCTTACCTAGTTGTCAAATTGATATTCATAAAACGCAGGCCTAACCTTACCTGCCCCACATTCCCCTCTCTTCAATAAACTTTATCCATAATGCTCCAGAATCAAATATAAAATCCTCTATTTGGTTTTTAAAGTCTTTCATAACCTGGCCTCCTCCTACTTTTTCCAGTCTTCTTATACCTCCCATACTCTATGATCCAGGGACACTGGCCACTCCACACTCCATCTCCTTCCTCCAAGGCTTTCACTGACAGTCCCATGTGCCTGGAATGTCCCTCCTCACTTCAGCCTCCTGGCTTCCTTCAGGTCTCAACAGAAGTCCTACCTTTTAGCAGAAGCCTTTCTTAGTCCTCCTTAATCTTAGTGCCTTTCCTCTGAGACTACCCCCAATTTATCTGTTTTGCTCTTATTTGTGCATAGTTGTTTGCATGTTGTCTTCCTCTGTGAGCTAATTGAGAACAGGGACTTGTTCTTATTTTTGTTTTATTTTGTTTTGATTTTCTTTGTATCCTCAGAGCTTAGCATAGGGCCTGGTGCACAGTAGGGACTTAACAAATGCTAGTTGACTGACTAAATGGTACAGGGTTAGAGATTTAAAGCTAATAGAGACCTCAGAAGTTATTTAGTATAATTCCCTAATATTTATGCTAAGACTCGGAGAGGTTAGGTGAATTAATCAAGGTCATACAAAGCAGAAGAGCTGGGGGTTGAACCCAAATCCAGAGCCCTGAACTGGAAATCAGAAAACCAGAACTGCCACTTATTGGCTCTATGACTTCAGGTCTCTATCTCAGCCTCAGTTTCCTCTTCTGTAAAATGGTAATCGTAACACCCACAGGTGTGTTGTGTGGAAAGCACTTTGTAAACTATAAAATACAATAAACCAATCAGCTATTATTACCATTATCATTACTAGAAATGGAACTTGTGCATTCATGAAAATTTGTCCTTGATCCTAGCTTCCATCTATGTATATCGTGAGTGTGTGTGAATGGCGCGGTGGGAGTGGGGTAGGCTACAGTGTATGTGTGTATGTGGGGGTGGGGGTGGGTGGAAGACCTGTTTTTCTGAGTAAAACCCAGGGTCTTTTGAAGCCAAGGAAACATATTATGTGAGGAAAGTCTCCTTGAATGGATCTATTTGCATATGAATATCTCTCTCAAAGCCTGGAGCCCAGCTCCCTTCTCCCTAGAAGGACTTAACAGGCAGCAGAGCTCAGAGGACCCATTGGAGGACCCATTAGCTAAAGCTCCCTTTCAATGGGCCAGGCTGGGGGAGTATGGGCCTGCCATAAAATCAATAGCCTAAGCCACACGGCTGTTCAAGGCCTGAATAGACACCAGGGACCAGGCCTGCCAGCAATCTGTATATGTGTAGTCATGCGTTTGTTTGCATGTACATGTCCACACTTGTTGGCTTATCTGGGCATCCATGACTATGCATTGTTAATTATCAGTGTGTGTTGTTTTGAGTAGTAACATCCTATGGGAGAAACTCCCTCCAGCCCCTACCCTATTGCATCTACATGCGTCTTTGCCTCTTCTCACCTTCATACCCCAGAAAGGTGGCATGCTATAGGGTAAAAAGTACTGGATGAGGACCAGAAGTCCTTTTCTGACCCAGTTCTGATATTCACTAGCTTTGTGACCCTAGAAAAGTCCCTTCAACTCTCTGCATTTCAGTTTATTCATCCACAAAATGGGGATAATAATACTTATGCTACATATCTCCCAGGGCTCTAAGTGTTTTGTAAAACTTTAAATGGTATAAAAATGGAAGTTTTTATTTTAATGGGGTGTACAGGTGTCAGTGAGAGGTAGTGTGAGGTAGCAGAAAAAGCACTGGTCTAAAAACAACTTTGAAAACTAGTTGACTGCTAAAGTCTCATTTCCTTTGTGGGTCTCAATTTTCTAATTTGTACAATGAGAGTGTGTGGAT